AGCTGTGCCTCATTGTGGTCTAGAAATCCATTATTGAGTCATTGATCATATCTAATTTTACATGAAATAATAGCATCATGTATAAAATTTAATGGCAAATTCTATTAATTTAGTAAGTATTAATAAGTATTTAAGTATTTGTTACTTGTAAAGTGTTCAGTTTATAGAAATGGTGTGCAGCCAGTCAGCTGGCATCATGGTGAAGAATGTTAAATGGTCCCACTGTGGACTGCTACTACATTGACCGTCCTCCACCAGCCACCGCTGTCGAAGTGGGTGTGTGATTTAATAAGTGAGAGAGTTTGTGTGTGTGTGTGTGTGTGTGTGTGTGTGTGTGTGTGTGTGTGTGTGTGTGTGTGTGTGTTCTGTGCCAGCTGTTCTTCATGCCAGCAGCCATAGCTGACCACTTGCCGGCTGGGGCCAACACACAACAGGCTCCTGGGATGCAGCCAGCTCTCAAAGGCCGTCTGTGGTCTACACACACACACACATACACACACACACACACAGAGGGGGAGAGAAAGACTGGGCACACACTTGTCTGTGTATCTTGGAGATGTGACAGAGACTCTTAAGAAGGTCCAAGAAGATGTTTCAATACATCATCTTTCTTCCGTCCTCCTCACACATACAGACAGAGCAAGTATTTAGTGGCAGTGAAAATTACTGTCCCCAGCTGTGTGCGTCATGGTTTGTTTTGCGGTTGAGGTTGTGTGTGTGTGTGTGTGTGTGTGTGTGTGTGTGTGTGTGTGTGTGTGTGTGTGTGTGACTGAAAGAACTGAAAGAAAGCAAGTGATGTCTTTGATCTTTATCCAGGTCTAATGTAGGAAATGTAGCTGTCTCAACAGATGATGCCCGCAGTCTGACTTACACTCTTGCCAAAAGATCCTGTGCTGTCTTGTACTGTGGATCACACAATGATGGCAGCAAGACACATTAGGGCGAGGCTTTCATAGTTTGCTGAGATGAAGTATGCTCATTGTTTTGGCTCTTCTGATGTTTAAATGAAGATTTATCTTCCAAGAGTTTCTAATCTTATTTACACTCTGTCCATTGCCTGGAGGGAGTTTGATCCAAGCCAATCCAATTCTGCTCATCTCTCAGTTTTCATTGCCAGACTTAGCAGTTGAGCTTATTACATAAGACTAACGTCAGCTTTGCTTCCGTACCATTTTATTTATGGACATGTAATCCATTTATGTGGTGCATTACCCTGCAATCTGATATTTTCTATTAATTGCATTTTATATTATTAAAGTGTCTGTGATCGTTTTGAATCCTCTAAACTTTCTCTCACTTTTCTTTGTCTCCTCTGTAAGTGAAGAAACAATCACTGTAACAGATGAAATATGTTACTTGGCATCATTTTTAGCAACTTTTCATGAAGATCAGGAAAGTTTTATTATCTGAATATTTGAAATATCTGCTCAAACATATAAATCATTCTCTTTGGAGCAGAAAAGGTTTGCTATTCTATCTGTTTATTTGGCTTCCCACTAAAGACAACATGATTCAGACTCTTTCCCATGAGCTGAGTACAATCCAAGAAAAATAACCCTGTCTTGTGTTGCAATGGTGTAATTATGGATCCAAACAGATTCTATAACCGCGGTCCCGTTCTAAACATCAACTCGAGCAAGGCGGAAGTTTGGTTTTCTAAACCAACATAATTAAATTCCAACTGCAGACACGGAAATCCCTCCCACCACCTATAGAAAAAAATGTAGTTGTTTTGCTCTGGTTCTCATTTATGGTAGATTGACTTAGCTCTGGTGTTGTCCTGTGGTGTGTGTTTATGACATAATAAGATATGGCTGACTTATCTTGGGCAAGAGATAATGATTGGACAAGTTAACTCATTAGCAGTGAAGGATGGAGCTAAAAAAAACTTTTTTAGGGCTGAGGAGCAGAAATCCATCATGAACAAGGCATGGAGGCTTATTTCTCTGTCAAATGGCCTCACAGCAAAGGAGCTACAAGGCATCTTGAATAAAAGTACTACACAAGCAGTTCTCCAAGGCTTGCTGAAATGTTAAGTGAAAGTGGGTATAAACCAAATAAGACTGTGGCTGCAAATAGTCCCTTATTCATTCATTCATTCACTTCTCATCACAGACAGCTGTAGAGTCGGACAATGGTAATTTTTGCACCTGTAAAATTTAGAGCTTTGCATTGTGAGAAAGTAATGTTTTGTTCCATAGCACAATTTTTGAGGAGAGTATAGATGGTGAATAACTGTACAAAGTCAGAATTCAGACACTCAAAAGAAAAGATGGACAGTAAATGTGGAGCGCTATGTAGTAAATAGAGACAGATTTCAGACAGACTAAAAGTCTACGGCTACACTAGCTGCTTTGAGCTAAATGCTACTGTCAGCATGTTAACATGCTCAAAATGACAATGCTAACATGCTGATGTTTGGGAGGTATAATGTTTACCATGCTAACCATGTTAGTTTAGTCTGGTAGCATGGTAACATTTTCTAAGTAGTACAACTGAAGCTGATGGCATTTCCATTCATTTCGCTGGTTTTGGACCAAGTGAAATTTTCCTCTGATGACCAGTGTTAGACGGAAAGTCAAGGGATCTTCAATTGTTATTACAGTTCATCCTGACGGGAACATGATTGTCTGTAGCAAATTTCATGCTAATCCATCCAGTTGTTATCAAGACCTTTCACTCAAAACCACAAATGTTCAAGAATCACCAAAGTCATGAGAATACATCATCTAGGAACCAGGAATGTCTGCACCAAATTCCATGGCAACCCATCCAGTAGTTGATGAGATATTTCAGCCTGTGTCAAAGCAGTGGACTGACGACAGACCGACAGAAAAACTGACATTGCAGTTGGCTGAGTCATACCACTAATATGGCTAACAAAATAAACTAACACTAAACACATAATCACAGAATAACTCTTGGAACGCACTGCAGATTGGTGTACTGTATATAACAGAGTAAGAGTGTCAGAGGGTGGAGACTTCCTCTGGGCCGATGATGAATAACTGTGGAGTAGATGAAGGCATATCAACTCATCAGCCCTCTCACGTTGCAGAGCCCATGATTGCCCACAGTCTTGCTGTTGTGCTGCATGCAGCTTTGATGTCCTTGGTGTATAGGCGCTGAAGAAACCTCAGTGCGGTCAGTCACAACAAGCAGCTCTTGTGGGGTCATTTTGGTCTCGCCGGTTGAACAGCCTTTGGTATTTGGCTCGATGAATCTGGAGGAATGCGTCTTGGGTTGAGCTGTTGATTGTTGTTTCCGGTGGTGGCTGCGCTCCAGGACGAGATTCAAGATGTTAAAACAAGGCAGTCAGAAACCACACCCACACAGTCTGATACACCACTGGACCCGATGGAGGTGATTATAGACACAGACATGGCGCAGATATTCAGCCTGTCCTATTTCAGTGAAGCAGAAACCTCAGCGGCTGCCGTTAGTACCCTCTGCGTTGCGGTCGGAGACGACGATTTAGGCAGACCAGAGCTGTTTGGGTCATTTTTGTTGTTGCGTTGGCTATTTATGAGCACCAGTTGTTCCTTATTCTAGGTATCCCTGCTATGACCACAATGTGGGTGGGTCCCATCTGTGGGACGGACAGCTGACATTCCACACTTCTTATGAACCAAAGCCCAGAGGAAGGCTCAGATTTAGAGCAAATGCAGGGTTTTCTTTATGAAACTGTGTTTTGGATTTTGGCTTACACTTCATGTAAAGGATCCAAAAATGCTGCAGAGTGCGGCATGGTATCTGTGGTTTTGTGGTAGCTAGAATGGTGCAATTTGTGAGAGGGATCACCAAATGTTCAAAACAGACTGGCAAACAAGAATTTCACTCAGGCACATAAATATGTTGCAGGTGCTAACAGCAAAAATGAATACAAGAAGTTGAAAAAATAAGCAAAACTGTCCTTTTGCTCTCATGTTGATACTGTTTATCGAAGGATAAGTCTGGCATCATTCAATATTTTGTGTACATCAACAAATACCCCCCCAAAAACAAAACCAACAATGTGTTAGTAGATCTCTCAATACTTCCAACCTGCCTGTGGCACTTATTCCCAAACCTATTGAATCCCACTGAAAACAGATCCTTAAAGCTGCTTTAATCAAGTTTTTATATTAACAGTGAATCAAATGACTAGTTGTTGAGCTGAGAATCATCATGACTCTGCAGCTCCTCTCAGTTCTACAGTGTTAAGCCTCTTATAGCTCATTTTTTTCTTTGTATGGCCACAACTGTATTGTTTTGGTTCATTCCCATTTGTCTCATAGTGTTGTTTTGGAGCATTTCACTGCTAAAAAGCCAAATATTTACCCAAGGGATTTGGTGGGGACCAAAAACTGAGCCAAAAGGGGAGTGAATATTAGACATACTTTCACCAGGTGGCCACAACCATGACTCCAAATGGATAATGTTGCCCTGTATCTGGTGATGTCTACAAAGAGACGCATCTACAGGCAGATTGTGTGTGTGTGTGTGTGTGTGTGTGTGTGTGTGTGTGTGTGTGTGTGTAAATGTGAGTTTGTTTGCATTTCCACACGTGCAATGAATGGTTTTGGTATATGAGGAGAGGATGTGAGTGTGGGCATACAGGCCATCCCTGTGAGTGGGCAGACAGACAGAAAACATGCAGAGTCAGGGGACGAGCAGGTGTGCGTCTGGCTTTGAGTTTCTGACTGTGTGTGTGTGTGTGTGTGTGTTTGAGAGAGAGGGAGAGAAACTTTAATGAAAGGTCTAATAATATTTATTCTGTTAGTAAGTGACATGTGACACGATTTAAGGAGGAATTCCTAATAAAGACTTAGGTCTGGTTTGATGGGCATTGTTCTAGCGTATCTTGTCTTGACTTGCTCAGTGTGAGATAGAGAAAGATTAAAAAAAAACAGAGACAGAAATGAAAGAGCTTAGGGAGAGACAGATGAAGAAGCAGCAGCATGTATTCCTGCTGTAATGTGGACATTAAAGACATTTTTTTCTGTCTGTATTTCTTACAGAGTGTATGAACTGCACCAGCTTCACTGGCATGAACAGCAGAATAAATGCAATTGAATCAAAGGTAAAGAAGATCCCTCTACAAGCCTGTGAATCATTTGAAAAGTTTAAGGATTTGTACACAGATTACTTTATATTTAACTGAGTGCAGGTGTGTCTGAAATCTACCGCTCTTGTTCCAGATCAGGCTGTTAGAAGAGGGACGTGCCTCACTGCCGACAGTCAGCAGTTTACCAGAGGGCTCAACGGACAACGAGGTGGACACACCTCAGCCCACTCCTATTGGACCGCCGTCATACCTGCCGCCAGGTGCCAACACTTCACGACATACGTGCCTTCTGGTATATGTAGTGGAGGTGTTGAGGAGCTGTTTTTATTATTATATCTGTCTGAATTAATCAACAGTAAACGCACAGTGTCAGATTGAGCTTGTCAAACTAAAGAGCTGAAACGATGATTTGATTAATGAATTTGTGTATTGACAGAAAATCCATTAGCAGCTGATTTGATCACATTATCATTTGTCAGGACAAAAAAAAATGCCTGTATCTTTGTGTACGTGGGACAAACAAGCAATTGGAAGACGTCTCGTGATTATATTGATTAAATATTCTGCTGATTAATCAATTATGGAAATAATTGTTTGTTGCACCTCTGCAGGTCTTACTCATACGTTTGATCAAAACATCGTAGTTAAATTATGTCACTGTGGATCCAAACAGTGGAACATTTACCGACTGATAATATTCTGGTTCTGCTTCCTATGGACGGGAGTACACACACATTACAATGAGATAAATATTGTATGTTCTGGAGAACAGGGCATCCATTTGGCTCCAGAAAGAACACGGATCAGATGGATAATAGATTTTTGGCATATGTTGCTCATGTTTTTTGGTGAATGTTTGGAAATATAATATAAGACATTTTATTTATTTTTCATTTATTTATTTTGCCATGTTCAGTGCTTTGCTGAGAAGTTGAGATGCATCAAGGAGGTTAAAGGGCTATTTGCAAATCAGTACGTCAGATCAGCAGAAGCAGAGATCTTCTGACTATTAGACAAGCTCCAAAACTGCAGGCTCCCAGATTTTTAATGTATTGGAAATTGATAGTGTCTTTAATTAAACCCCTCACCATCTTGAATGCTGAATGATTCCTTGAACTATATATTTGACTCTGACTGTCCCTTCTTGTTTAGGAGTACCAGGAGCTGTTGGGCCTCCAGGGCCTGCTGGATCTCCAGGGCTTCCAGGTTCTGCTGGACCACCAGGTCCGGCTGGAAGACCAGGCCTTCCTGGGCCCATCGGTAAAACATTATCAGAACTCTCTGAAGCCTCATCTGCTTATTTAAAGATGGTCTGGGAGACATGACTGTTGGGAGAAAAAACTCATTGATGATATGCTTGTTTAACATGACTGCTTGATTAATTGTATTTTGTTGTTTTCATTGGTGCTCAGGATCAAAGGGGGACAGAGGTTTACCTGGAGAATTAGGTCTACCCGGCCCTCCTGGTCCCCCGGGTCCTCCAGGGTCGGGCTTCTTCCCGGTCCGAGCACGGGGTGATGCCTTTCAAGTTGACAAACAAGGTGAGCAGACCGTTCCGCTATAAATTTAATCTCTCGAATCAGGATGAAATTGTCCCTGATGAACTTAAATGAGAGCATAATAGAAACAGATCTCACCCACATGGTTGAATTCTGGCCCAAAAACAACTGTAAAACAACTCAAGCATTCAGTTTTGAATGGTTTAATTTGACCACTTTAAACCACAGGTCCATTCTCACAGTTCATCCCACAATGAGTCATGTGTTTCACCAGCTTCAAACACTCACATATCTCTTGCATATGTCCACCCTGTTCGTCTCTTGAAAACATTTTGTCAGGTGGAACAGGAACACCGGCCAAATTGGTTTCTGTGTGTGGAGAATGGTGGGGCACAGGTGGAAGCACAGAGACTAAAGCATGCTGTAGCTGTTACAGAGTGGTTAAGTGAACAAGCGTCTTTAGCTTTTAGCAACGGACTTCAGTTCCTAATGGAGAGAGTATTGTTTCTTTTCCCAGGAAAGGCTGGCTTAGATTTAGTTTAATTGTTTCCGTGTGTTTTGCTGCTGCTGAGCCACTGTTTACTGCAACCTAATTTAACACCACCACCAACAATGGAGCCAAATACCAGCGAATAAATCGCAAGATTAACTCGGGGGCTGAATTTATTACAAAAATATATTGAGGCATTTTTCATTCATCTTTTCCAATTAAATACAGGTCACTTCTTTGTGTACTTTCTACAGAGATCAGTAAACATAAGAATGAAACTTCTGTAATGAATATTAACATGAAAATCATTGATTCCCCAGTTCCTCTAGTTTTCAGCATTGAGATCTTTGATGTTTTAAAAAATAGAACAAGCCCATGTACAAGTCTCTTCTCTGACATTTAATACCGAGGTTTTACCACAGGGAGGCAGTAGAAGTCCATGCTGGAATCATTACCTCACAAACACTGCTGGCTCCGATTAGGCTTTTGGCTGCGTCTGCCTTTCTGAGCCCAGGACTGTGTCTGCGGGTCTGGAACTATGTAGATTTGGGTCTGTGGGACTGTGTAAGCTGAGGGGGGCCAACTGGCTGTAAATCAGGCCTAATTTGTTAGCTGTCAGCACAACAGTCTGCGTTTTGGGGAACAGGCCGCGGCCCGGAGCCAAAAGCTGGGCTGGCTATGAACGAGGGAGGAGATAGTCTGCCACTCATGTGGAGTTTCTTGGGGAGGCAGCCAGACTCGAGGAGACTGTAACATTAGAAAATTAGTTCCAGAGGGAAATGTGCTCCTTCTAGACCCTTTCTGTGGACTGTAGCCATAATGTAACAGCGCTGTCTCAACACAGGGGAAGACTGACCCTGAGCATATGGTAAAGTGGAGAGGAAGTGGAAGTGTGGCGTGATTTCAAACAGAATTTATACTTACAAGCATACTTTAAAATATCCTACATGCTGAGAACAAGACATGACTTCCACCTCATGCATGTTTTCTATGAAGACAGATCATGTCCAAGCATTTACTGCTCTATTAAATGGGACCCCTTTTAGATCGACCAGCTGTTCCTGTCGATCACTGTTGCAGCAGATTCAATCCTCCTGCTGACTGCTGGTGAAACTCTGCAGCCTGACTGCTGACCCTTGATGTGTTAACTCTTATGTTAGGCTGAGGAAAAGTGTATGTATAGGTGTATATGTATAGGCATTTTGGGAATCCAAATGAACATTTTATAGACGCGCCCGAGATGTATAAAATATAGCTCTGTAACTGCGGGCCCACATGGAGGCAGAGCCTGTTTCTTGATACTGTTCAGAATTTGTGTCTGCGGATATATCCCTGTGTCTAAATCAAGTTGAGGCGGATTACAGTTCACATATGGAATCTGAGATGCATCTTGAACGAACACGCTACTCTGCTAATCTGATTTTATGTGTAGCGAAACTCTGACTGCTGCTTCATAAGAAAATACATGTTTGCATTCAGCATTTGTTATCTCATCGCATTTGTGGTGATGACTAATCAAACCCTTATTTGACATAATCTATTCAGCTGTGTTTGGGAGGTTTGTTCTACAATAAGCACAGTACAGATCTGACTTTGTAGTCCTTCAGTTTGGTCTATACTTCAGTACAAATTTGAGGTATTTAATTCTTATTTGCTCATTTAACTCAATTTTATGTTTGTACTCCAGTACATCTTGGAGACAAATATTTAACTTTTTACTCCAGTACATTTATTTGGCAGCTTTAGTTACTAGTTACATTGCATATTTAGATTATCAATATAAACTATAAATCCTCTAATAAAGTATGAATGAATATTATAGATTAAGATTCCCAGCCACATATAAAGTAGTTAAAATTAGCTCCAACTTTATCAACTGCAACTTTAATGATGCTTACACATTAATGCATCACTGCTTATAATCCTGTAATATGATACACATTAATGCTGGTACTTTTACTTAAAGTTACTATCTGTAAGAATGTGAAGCAATGTACATGTGTTAGTCATTTTTTTATTGCATATGTGTTGTGTGAATGGATTGTAACATAACTTGAAACTTCCTTGACTTTCTCATTTGCCTATAACAACCTGTGGACTGATTTCTGTGTAAAACTACTACTTGGGTACTACTAATTTTCTGTTAAAGTCCAAAGGATGTGACATTTATGCTCACAGTGTCTTGCCTCAATGCCTCTCTCTGATCTCATACAGCGCCAACAGTGTGCAACACTAGCTAACGTCAGCTTATAAATTGAGTCAGCTAATGTGAATAAATGACCGGCTCCCAGCACAACACAGACTCCAACACAAACTCAACATAAACACAAAAAGCAAAAAAAAAGTTTTATCTAGTGAAGTCCGTCTGGCGAACGGGAAAATGACTGACGTCAGGGTCAACATCGGCATGGCAATCGATTCATGGAGGGACGTCATCACATAACATCTCACCTCATAATACAATATTAGTCAAATGATACTCTTGTATAGCCAAACCTAGAGACGGATGACAAATTAGAGGAAAAACCTGAAAAATGAGTGGAGAATCAGGGTGACAGAATGGTTTGATGAGTATGAAAATGTGAATCATCTGCTATGGCCTTTGCAAACACCAGCTCGCAATCCAAATGAACACCCATGGGAAATTTTACATCAACATGTTGGACAGCGCTCTCCGCCACCTTCATCAAAACACCGAATGACACCAGAGACAAATATAGTCTACAGTTTCAGATATAGTTTATAGTCAAACTATAATAACAGTGTAACTTTAGTTACCTCATCTATCAACATGATGCCGGTCAATCATGTTCAGTCCCGTGTAAGTCACGTCACAGGATGCTGACTGCAGTTCACTCAGCGGCCACCGGTGTCATTAACAACAAGGGTTTCCTGAATGTTACATATAGTACCTTTAAGTAAGATTTTGAATGTAGCACTTTTACTTTGAACAGAGTATTTATACACTGTGTATTGTTACTTTTCCTTTTTTTAAGGATGTGAATACTTCTTCCAACACTGTCATAGACACTACAGTAATACTACCCCACTGTATTTGGTCACATCACCACTCAATAAAAACCAGCAGAGGAAGGGAAAATGTTGATGTTTATTCATGTTAAATGTTTGGGGTCAAGCTGAAACGGTTTTTTATTATGGTTAGATTTTGAAGAGTGATGGAGATTTTGGGAATTTTAACAAGTGACTGTGTTGCAGCCTGTGAATCATGTCAGTAATATGCACAGTGTTGATCAATGAAAGCATTGATAGAAATCTCGTCTCATTTTTAAGTACAAGTTCACATCTGTTTGATTCTTTGGGCTCCAGAAGTTATTTACAGGACATGGTGGTGAAAATACTTTTGGATAATAGCATACTAAGAAACGGTTTATAACATTAAAACATGATCTAAATGATAAGCTGTAAATCCACCTCTTGTTGTAACATGATTGTCAATGACCCTCAGTCAGGTACTAATATTTTTTCTGTTTTCTGTTGTTACATTATTGATTCTCCTTTGTGCAAAGGTTCAAGTAACCCTCTGTTTAAACTTCTGTTCTTATTTTTACAGAGGAGACAAATCTCGCTGCTCCTCAGATTGTAGTCGGGCCTCCTGGTCCAACCGGTCCTTCTGGCCCCTCAGGTATTAATATATTGCAAATCCTCAGGTTAGATGAAAACACAGCATGTCTTCAGTCCAACACAGCTCATGAAATATACCTGTGTATTATATTTTTTTCTTGTCTGGGTTTAGATCTTTTTAACCTTCTTTGGCAAGACTGTCATTACAAATGCACATTGTATAGCCAAGAACTGCACAAATACACAAAACCTCTTTTAAATTCTAGTCAAGAGATCCCCAAATTTCTAAATATAGAAAACATGTCATGCTAATTTACAGGAGAACGTGCAAGTAGACTAGATAAACATGACACTTACACACAAACACAATACACAAACATCACTTTTACATTTGATGTTATTATGCGTGAATACATTTGGACTTGTTCAAAAAAGTTCAAGTGGTTAAGCGTGAGTTTATTTTTTAAACCCTGACAAATCTCTCTCTCAGGACAGTATCATTTCAGAATTAAATTAAACTGTGTTAAATTGACTGAATTGAATTTTGACATTGCACAATAGTCAGAGCCAGACTTAAACATTTTAACATTCACCTCCCTCACTATGTGATGTTTTTGTGAATGACACTACAGGCCCTGCAGGGCCGAGAGGACCTGAAGGGATTCCTGGCCTGCCGGGACAAGACGTGAGTATCTGTCACTGAGAGCTGACTGTTGTTCAATAAAAATATGAATGTATGACTGGCATCATTAACACATGTCCTTCTGTGTATCTGACATGAGGGCAAGGAAGGCCTCCAAGGCAAGCCTGGGGATCCTGGGCCTAAAGGAGATCCAGGGGAAAGGGTGAGGCTGCTTTAAAAACCGTCCTCATTATTGGATTAGCCGGCAGGCTGCACATATTTGATTCTGATGAACTATCAAATGCTTTTTGTTCTACGTTTTGTAAATGGCCCTAGCTGTCATGCAATCTTAAACACATTAAAGGTGAACAAGCTTTTCTTCAAAGACTGACTCCAAGCTGTGACTAATCCTCCTCTTTCTCTCTCGTCCAAGGCCAGGCCTCACTAATCAGGGCAGCCATGTCGGTCCCCTCTGTAGTCAGCTCTCTAGTGGGCCTCTGTCTTTAAACCTGATCCCCTTCCTCTGCTAGCATGATTTAAGATTGGAGATCTGGTGAAGAGGCAGATTAGCACAGGGGATAAAGAATGCAAGCCGGTGAAATGTGTGTGTGTGAGCGGGAGTCCTAAATTATTCTTCTGTTTTTCCTCTACCAGGGGTTTCCAGGTGCAACAGGCGAGCAGGGCCTACCTGTGAGTATAAGGTTGTTGTGTTACATAAATCACGCGTGCACACACACACACACACACACACAAACACACACACACACACACACACACATGCACACACGCACACAACACAAGATTATTTTACTCTGTTTTCACAGGGAGCACCAGGGCCAAAAGGAGAGCCAGGAGAAGGCTTGAATGAGGTAAGAGACATTAGTGTTTTTTCCTCCTGAGCTCATTTGAACAAGACCTATTCAAAACCTAGTATACAGCTGGACCGAATGTGAGGACGTAGTTGAAAACCGTATTGGAGCCCATGATGTAACCGCCTAGTGTCAGCCTGTTTCAGCTGTTTATATGTTTGCTTCTTTCCAACTCTCAATGCTCACGTATACAGTATTTTAATACAGCTGAATGTCCAGTAAAGCTGTTATGCTTCACATCATGTTTTTCCGTTTATTGTACTGTTCAGGGAGAGGCCGTGCAGCAGCTCAGAGAGGCCCTGAAGATCCTGGCTGAGAGGGTCCTGATCCTGGAGCACATGATCGGCATTCATGGTGAGAGAAAGAGGAAACAGGAGGAAAATATGTTTTCCAGGCTAAAGAATGATTGTTGAAGGAATCGTCTGATATTTTGGGAAATAATATAATATTAATATATTTTCTCGCTGAGGTGGAGAGTTAGATGAGGAGGGCCACCATTCTTACTTCAGGCCATTAAATATTAGGCCACAGCCAGCAGCCAATTAGCTTAGCTTAGCACAAAGACTACATACAGGGGGAAACAGCTAGCCTGGCCCTGTCCATCGATAACAAATTCCACCTTCCAGCACCTCTAAGATTCACTAGTTAACACAATATATCTAATTTACGATTTGCCAGTTAATCGACAACTATTTTTATTATAAATTAATCTCTTAAACCTGCAGAGCAGAACTTTTGTCTCCCCCGCTGGCAGTGAGAGTAATTACACACATGTAATGTCGAGAAATGTCCACAATTTCAAGGTAATTATTCATTATATAGGTAAAATGAATGTAATAGTTACATAGCCTACTCCAAATATTTTTTACAAATGCCAGTGTGTCCATGAGCAGTAAGGTGGCGTCCGTGTCTGCCCTCGGTCCCTTCTCTTCTTTCAGCGCTCTCGAATGTAAAGCCACACCAGTGGTAATCCATGTTTATCCCCACCATTGATTGCTTTCTTTTTTAGACTGTAATCTTTCCTCTAAATGCTGAATTTCTTTTTCTATCTGGATCTTCAGAAAGTTTTTGTGGACACTTCTTTTTCTTCTTTCCACCATAGGCTCTGTCATACTGGCACTTTTTGCTTTTTGGTGTCATTCAGGAGACCAAAAAATGAATCAGTTAATCAGGAAAATAGTTAAATAGGTAGATCATTTGATAATTAAAGCTATTGTTACTTGCAGCCTTAATCTAATTTGTTAAATACATAGAAGCACAGAGTGATAAAACAGGTACATGTACCTCCAGTAAAACTGTGATTTGCAATTTTCTCCACTTCTACACTCACTCAGTGAGCTTTAGAGGTGTTGATAGGCAGATTTAGTTTGATTCAGTCAGAGCCAGGCTAGCTGTTTCCAGTCTTTATGCTAAGCTAACGACCTCCTGGCTCAAGCTTCATATTTTACAAACAGATGTGAGTGTGGTATCAATCTTCTCATCTAATTTGCTATCACAAAGTGAATAAGCATATTTCCCAAAATGTCAAACGTTTCCTTTAAAGCAGTATTAGTAAAAGAATACTTTTTCATCTGATTGTTTCTCTGTGTTTCTCGTCTTTAAACAGACAACTCTGAAGGATCTGGTTTTGGCAGCATTTTGGACCCGCTGTCTTTCTCCGCTGTAAAGACCAAACGCCTCCAGCCTGTTCAAACCCCTCCTCAAACTCCAGCACTGAAGGAGAGACAAAGACAAGCTCCGCTTTAAGTGTATAGTCTAATCTTGTATTTTGTGTTCATATTTGTGATGGGTGTTGCGCTTTTTGTTCATATAATTTCTCCTCATGCCTTTATTTTTTTTTTCTAATTGTCTTTTTTTATCATAAATGAGTACTGTTGTAAAAAATGAAGCTCTTTGCAGACATGAGATGTTGAGCATTTCATCCACATGAAAGGCTTTTTTGAGCCTTTTTCACCCTGTTGCTGCATAATCTTGGTCTACATAACCTTAGCAGCAGCATTTACACAGTGTTGTACAATGAAATATAATCTCATAAAGTGTTATGAGGGTTTTGGCGTCTTTCTTCTCTCAGATAAAAGACTGCCTAGTAAACACATCAGTTTCCTTGGCTGATGTTGCAAAGCTCAGAGTTCCTGAGAGCTGGACCTAAAATGTACTATTTAGTGTCTAACAGATTCTTGGAACGACCTCGAGGTTCATCTTGTGTTAGCCTGTCAAACATATTTCTTCCTCTCTCTTTCTGTCTTTCTCGCTGTGCTCTGCCTTGTTAAAGCTGAGGTAAGACATGACAAGCTGCCAAGAATATCTGCTTAAAATAAAGTTAGATGAAATGAATCGCATCTGGAGAACACCCATCTGGAAAGCAAAAGGAAGAGATGCTGAAACAGTTGAGTTTTGGCCTGGAAACCGCAAACCCTGCACGGCTCCAGTACACCTTCTCGCGACTGGCTGACGGAGCACTAAACCTGGCAGGATTACATTGACTTACACCATAAACTGCCTCTGAGATTTGCTTTAAAACTGATATGATTATTGTACAATAAGTCTCAGAGAAACCAAGCCTGTTGGTCTCAGAGTAAAGCTCTGGCTACGGCTGGTGCAATCTTTGTTTACTCGATTACAAGGGTCATCTGTTAAAGGAATTGTTCAGCATTTATACACTTATTCACTCTCTTGTCAAGAGTTAGATGGGCAGATTGATAATACTCTTTTCTGTTAATATGAAGCTACAGCTGGAAGCTTGTCACGTTAGCTTAGCATAAAGACTGAAAACAGGGGGAAACAGTTAGCCTAGCTCTGTAACAAAATCCTCCTACAAACACCACCATCCTCATGGTGACAACAATGCTCTGTTCAGGCAAGGTCATTCAAAATAATGAGCAGCCGATTGGGAAAACCGTTCATGTTAGCCTCTGAGTCACTGTAGCTCAGAGTTGGAGATTTTAGGAATTTCTGAAAGTGATGATGAAGATGATGATGACGATGATGATGATACATCTAAATAAAATCCAATTTTAACACCAGTAAAACTAAATCATCTCATTTAAAAGCTGCTATACGTTATTGTTGTATATAGTTTCTCGTCAAGTTGCTGCAACTGTGTAACATGACAAAAGTAGCTAATTTAGGATACTTATCCAGTGCGACAACAAAGTCAGATAATTACCCTTACTCTTGTCTGTTCTGCCGACATTGCTTGAATGCCGACAAATTAAACAAACAACCTATAGCAAGTTACTTTCGGACAGAGCCAGTCTAGCTCTTCCCCCTGTTTCCTGTAATTGTGCTAAGCTAAGTTGACTGACTGACTGTATGTAGCTTCATATTGAACATATGGTCATATAAGTGGTGTTGATATTCTCATGTGTCTCTTGGAAAGAAAGCAAATAATTCTGTTGTAATTCTGTTCTCCAGTCTCTGATTGGTTATCTTATGTTATAGACAGCAGTCTACTGATGTAGGCCTGCCTTTTAAATACAACTGTTTTGTTGTGTCTTGTGCATGTTTCATTATCTTTTATACTTAACAGCGTTCCGGTGTGCTGTGTTGTTCAGTTTGCAAAACAATGTACTCAGCAGATATTTATCTGTGTTGACTGTTCAAGTAAGATTAAAGTCACAACAACAAAGGGATTCATTTCATAGTCACCACTAAATTGCACGTAATTACATTCGCACATCCTGTACACCACAACTTCACAGCGTGGTGAGACTCTTTACAGGCAGAGGCTCCACTGCAGCTCCTCCTCCTCGTCCTCCTCTTCTTTTTCATCCTTCTTTTTATTCTCATCCTCCTTTCACTCCTGCTCTTTGTCCTCTCTGTGTGATCACGAGGTTACCAGTGGCATCCGGGGGGAAGTTTGTAAACATCTGGTTTACCTGTAAGCAAACAGGTAATGGATTTATTGCACTTTTCTTTTTTTTTTTTTCTTTTTTTTTTAAATCCACTGCTTTTAAAAGAGAGCTGTCAGGCTTGCAGAGAGAGATCACGCACAGTACTGCATCTACAGATGAAAACAGAGCTGGCTTTTGCCATTCAATTATCTCATCTGAACAGGGAGATAAATGCAGTTATGTATCATTGTCATATATTCCACTCTGGCCCCTTTATGCGTCCTTTCATCTGTGCTATGCCTGCCTGTTTCTGTCTTTTTCCTCATGTACCCGCTCTCCTCCTCCCCTGTCTGTCTCTCCCCTCTTGTTTTTCCTGTCTACTGAACAGAGACATGTTGATATGAGGCCCGTTTGCACGGCCACAAGGGAACAAGTCTCTGGAGCTTTTGATCAGCTGCAAGATCAGACATGTCCACGGCTCCCCCGTGTACACTCCAGTGACTGATCATGCAGTATAATGGACAGGCACAGACAACCAAAGATGCACACCCACACATGTTCTCTCTGTAGATCATACAAGCATGGGCACACACATTCAAAACACACACACACACACACACACACAGACACAGACACAGACACACAGACCCAGTGCAGAGGGCCTGTGGTCCATGTGTTGGCTCGGCTCACAGTGGGGTGGCTTGTTTGCTGGACACAAGGGAGCGGGAGAGAGATGGTGTGTCTGATTTCCCCTTTCTTGCCCTTTTTTGCCTTTGACAGTAAGATGGATGATTGCAATCACAGGAGCCATCAGTGAGACAGAGTGGAGGTCTATGGGGCAGTGAGACACAGCCATGGGAAACCAGCCGTCAGATTACTGCACCGCGCTGCCATGGGAACACAGTGCTGTTTATTTGTCTAGGGGTTTTGTTGTTTCATATGCATTTTCTTCTCCCCGCCACCCCCCCCTCTGTGTGGCCTTTTGATGTACACAACATGAAAGATTCCTCATAAAATATGTGTAGGCTTTGAGGGAGGGACAGAGAAAGGAGAATGTTTACATTTCACAACATAGTAAGCCTACTGTAAGTCAATATGTCTCTTCAAACCAGTACAAATGTGACAGATTTCATAGCGATTAGACTGGTCTCTTTGATCCCTTGAGAGAATGAGAGACAGACTTTTCACTCCCCAGTCAACGGATGTTTTTAAGAGAAACATCTGTTGCTGCACAAATGAGATTACTGTGTCTCTAGCCAGGGGCCATGTAGGTTATGAATGGCACTGTTACTGAAGAGGGGGTCTGGAAGGGAGCTGAGAAGGATCTTTGTAATACGCTGTAGCTGGTAGTTAAGGGGTTTAAATCAAATTAAATTGCCTCAGAATCTGGGTATTCATCAACACTCACCTTCAACTTGTTCAACAGCATGGCCATGGCTGGTGCCCTTTGAATCACTATCTCATATTGATACATCCAATATTTCACCTTGTTGCCAAGCAACAACTCACCTCAGCCTCTGTAAACTTGTCGGCCTGTGACATGAGGTGATATTTCATCCTGCAGGAGAGGAGCAGAAAAGAAGAATTACTGTTTCCATCTCTTTGACGTTAAATTAACTGTGGTCTGTATTTCACTGGCCAAGATATGCATTCTCTGCATGCTGGAACTTTGTTAATGATTTAGATTTTTGTACTGTATGACACTGATTCATCATTATCTGAGTGATGAATTCTTGTGAGAGGCATCACAAGCCACAGAGTGGTCTCTGCTGTGTTTGTGCAGACTGCGAGGAGAATCACACACTCACTCCTCCCTCATGAGGAATCCTGATCCTTCTGGGTCAAACACCTTAGAGGCGTTGAGAATCGTCTACTCGGGGTCAGTTCCTGACAAAACACGGGTAAATCAGCTCGTAAGAACTGTTCATGTGAGCAGACATAAAGCACACTGCACTGACTCTTTCAGTGATACTTTATGTGTCATTCCTGGCTGTTTTTTTGTTTTTGTTTTTTTTATTGTTTTTATTTATTTATTTATTTTTTGGCTAATGCTATGTATCTTTTGTGACATCTGTTTTTATACAGCAATTCCTTCAATCCAAGACAAATGTTTGCCTTGGGAGACAATAAAAGCAACCTTGACTTAGAATTTAAATCTTAAAAGCCTTGAATTAAACTAAGCATGAATAAATGATCAAGTTCACTTAAAAAGATACCACAAACCAAACTAAATTATTTGAATAAAAAATCATAATAAAAGCACAACTTCTGACATTAGATAATATAATCTAGATTTTTGTATACATGTGATTTTCTTTTTTGCGCTGCGCACATAAACAATCAAAATGCTGAACTGAAAATAGATTAAGTAAAATTACATTTAAGAAAAATGGAAACCATGATGAAAATCAGCAAAGTGTTTTCTCGAAAGCAAACTGCACAATCTGTATAGTCTTGCTACTGACTTACCTTTAAGTCCTGAACACTCCTTCATCTCATCGAGCTCATTGTGACCAACATTAAGGCAACCTGCCATCATACAGTGTCACATTGTATATGATGAACAGTTACACAAGTTACCAGAGGAGGCAGTCCAGCTCCATATGGAGAGATGGTCAGACACATATGAGCATATACGTAAACACACGCATCTACACACACACACACATGCACACACACTGTTTTACCCCACCATCCCCCCCAGCATCCTCTAACCTCTTTGAACTCCTGGATCTGCTCAAACATACCAAAGATGGGGTTCTTTAACAGATGTGACAAACCTGCTCAAATCGTGTGACATGGAGGGGAGACAAGCCAGGTACAGGTACAGGAGCTTACAAATGGATAGGCCTGAGGTGAGAGGCTCCATCATTACTGTGGGAAATGAATGAATGAGTGGGAAACTAAGCTGTTTTGTTTTTCTTTATAAATATACAGTAATTCCTGATAGCTTTCCTACAAGACTCAGTAACTGACCACAAATAGCGTTCAAATCGGAAGCAATATATGATTGAAGTTGTTGCTAAAACATACTATTCGCAGGTTAGTGAGTGCAGTGATGTAACTGATATGCTGTACAGCCTCTTATCATTGTGTGGATCCTGTTGCGGTCTTCTTTGAGATCAGATGAGCTATTAAGAAACAATAAGAGGAGTGTCCTTCCTTTATATACTAAGTAAACTTGTTTTGTCCAGACAATAGAGGCCATGCTGTATATGTTTCTCAAAGCAGAAAGGTATGTTGTGCTATATGAAGGATATTGAGTGAGGATATGTCAGATACGCTTCAAGGAGATGAGTGCAGCACATTTAGTGGATCTATATTTGAAAGCATGAAGACTGGATATGATTTTACTCACAGTAACTAGATATACGAATAACTCCCTATTGTACATGAATGGGATTATGACAGGGATGAGCGGTCTGTCTGTGCTGGCCGTCTGAAAGCATTATTGCTGATAGACGTCAGTGGTTTCAACAGCTGTTGAGGCATCAGCTCATTATAGGAAGCAATATAATTCGCTGTCACTGTGCCTGCAGGAAATGTCTCATTTAACAGTGTAGAGTGTTAATTCTGTGTCTGGGCACTGACACAGAGGTGTAAATTTAAATGATCCGCATCACAGCTTCTGACTCGTATCAAATGACTCCTGAAGTTCACATGTTCACCTCCTCCTTCCTTCTCTCATTTTCAAGTTTCTTCTGCCTTATTGCCGCAGCTTAAGCTATGACAACACAGTGAAAACATGAGCGAAATGAGCATAGCTGTGTAAACATAGCAACGGCAAATGAAAGACTGTAGTCTTTTCATTTATCCCAATTCGTTCAATCAACTCAAGTTAATTGGAAACGGTTTGCACACAAAAGTTTATAACAGTGTAGTAACATGAAAGTTATGAGTGCACCAGACTCAAAACTGTATCACATGACCCATGTCTGACTGGAAATTTATGAAAGAATATGCTAATTGGTGTATTACATCATCCAGCTTTTCCAGCAGCTTTAGCTTCTTTCCACTAAAAGTAGTTGCCAACACAGTATGGAAGCCTATAGGGGAATTTTATTGTAAACTTGAAAATGTAATTCCATGATAGCATTGTCATTTTTCACACGTGTATGCTTTACATCGATTGATTAGTGTTGGGTTAGTGCTTGGCATATTAACAACAGCGACAACAAAAACAGAATACTTGCAGATACTTTGCTTAATTGTAACAAATTTAATAAATCCTGGGTTCCCCTCCCCTCCTTTCCTCCTACCTTTGTCCTGTCTGCCCATATGATCTGGAAACCATCCGTTGAAACAGCAGAGTAATCCCTCTAATGTCGGGTTAGTGCCGCTAGCTTGTCCTGCTCTCTGGTGTAAACATGGCTGCGTAGCTGAACACAAGCTGCCCTGACCAGAGTGTAAACAGCTGAAGTAGTAGTAAAAAGAAAGCCACACGTTTGAAGTTCATCTTGTTGAGCCGGCTTGGTGTGACACTGTTACACGGGCATTCACATAAAGGAAACACAACAGTTACTGAAAAAGGAGAAAAGCTGCCATCCTAGAAATCGTCTCTACTCAAAGATTCAAGTTACACAAACAAAGGAATGGATGTTGTACTCAACCTTTAAATTTAATGTTGTTTTGACAAATCTTTACTAAAGTGTCCACTAAAAAATAATAAGTTGATAAAAACACAGAAAAAAATTGCTTTCAGCATAATTTAATTTTTGTAATTTCATCTTTTTGCTGTAAAGTGAACACAAATTCTCATTTTATTGTACAAGAAAGTGACTAGTGACAGC